GTAATGTGGGTCTTCTGTCATTGAATGATTCTTCAATGGTTTAATTATGATGGACATTTTTTTGTCTAACAGGCATCGGTTATTCCGTGAACATTGTGTGTGTGTCAATGGAAACTACATCAAAGATTTATCCATTCTGGGTCGTGACCTTTCAAAAACCATCATCGTGGACAATTCACCGCAAGCATTTGGTTACCAGGTCAGTTTTCAGTTTTATCTTGTCTTGAAGGTAATGACATAGAGAGAAATCTATTACATGTCATTTTCATACCTATACTGCTGGGGTTTTGAACCCAAAAAGTGGTTTTTTATTAATCTGTGTTTTAATGAGGCTCTGGAGCCATAAAATATGGAGGAGCTCACCTTTTACCTTGGTCTCACTTTTACAAAAGGATTATAAAGTGGAAAATTATAACATAGATCAGTTAATATACTTTATGTTCAGTTTCAAGGCCACAGAGCCTTATACAGTAATGATTATATCAAGAGAGATAACTCTTACAGAATTGTCTACTCTTGAAAAGATTATTGTTTTAATGTATTTATGTATTGTAGCTGGCCAATGGAATTCCTATTGAGAGTTGGTTTGTGGACAAAGATGACAGAGAGTTACTCAACCTTGTACCATTTCTACAAAGTCTAGTGCACAAGGTAGGAAGTTGGGAAAAAGCTATAAATATAATGATTTTGGAGTGTTAAACCCTGTTCAGTCTCTAACTGCTAACATGCACTTGAAATATCATTACCCCGTATTTTTGCATAAGTTGTTTAGCACCCCTTCTGTGTATACCTATTTATATAGTAGTCAACAATGACTAAATCTGAAAATGTAAATAATAAAATGACATCTGAAATGCAATCTTGGTCGTGACAATTCACATTTCAAAAAGACTGTCATTTTCCCCCACTAGTTTTGTATAAGGAAAAATTTTAAATTCAGATGAGGGCTTTTCAAGAATGACAGCATTTACCCAGAATCCTCTATTTTTCAGAACGAGGATGTGCGTCCCCATATCAAGGACAGGTTCCGACTCCACGAATTATTACCACCATTACCTGGGATAGACAGTTCAGAAGGTGAAAGTTCAGATGGTGAAAGGTCAGAAACAGACCAATACATGCTGGATACAACTTAAGTGATACTCATTATCTGAGGTCAAAAAGTTCAGAAAGTTGAAAGTTCACAGATGTTAAAAGTTCAAAAAGGACCAATAGAACCTGGAAATTACATCGTGTTTGAACTTGACAAGAAAAAAAACTGTTTGATGGGTTGTTCTTTGATTTTTGTTTATATTACGTAAGTTTTGATGTTAATCAATTTAAACATGTCAAATATTTTTTTTAAAATGGAGGCAGAATATTTATATATGTATTTTCATAGGGCAGAACTTTAGCAATATTTTAGGTTTAATCATTTTAGTTCATGTAGTTATGACCGGTAACATTTCAGAATTCCCCTCCCCCCTTTTTGTGACATGGACAGATTTTTAAAAAGATTGGATTGAAATCTTTTCTTTAGGCTTGTTGTTATATTGTGTGATATACACAAGAAAACTGAAAATGTTTTTAAACTCGAAACAGTATTTATTCTTCGATGAAATTTTTATTGGTGAATGAAATAATTAAAATATTTTGTGAATACAATGTTTTTTTGTTTTTTTTTTTTTTTGTAAAGTACAAATATGTGTATGAATATTGTCGTTGTAGATATTGTTAAAAGTATGAAGTTTATACTTTTCATTGGCAGTAACTTGAATGTTTCATTTTTCATGTTCTTTCTTTCTTTTTTCTTTTGTTTTAACTGAAACATGAAATTATTATTATTATTTGAAGCTGTATTATGAATATTTTTTTTTTGTACGTAGTTATTGTACAGTCATCCATTTCTTCTTATCTGTTTTTATCATGACCTACATGTATATTTCCATATGCTTGCTTGTTCTCTACAACTAGTTTTCTTTGCTCTATTATTCAAGTCAAGAGTATTTTTTACAAATTGCACATAACACACTTACATAAAATGTACAGTATTGGTCATGGTCTAAGATAATGAAAAAGATAAAAATGAAAAAAAAAATGTTGGATATTGTCAAGTTCCTGAATCAGAAAATAGTATTAGTGTTTTTTGTGGAAAAAAAATTCTTTTATGAAAATGTATTTTGAGGGGAGCATGAACATTATAAATAACTATTGTATTTTAACAGTGCAAATTTTTGATGATACATGTAAACAAATGTGTTATTTTAATGTGTTATTTAAAACCAAACCAAACATTTTTTTTCACCAACCATCAGTTTATTTATTGAAATGATTTTTAAAATGTGTGTATATTATTTTTATTCTTTATATCTAGGGTAGTATTTTGTTTTATTTAATGGTGAGGCAGCGACTAATTTTTTTTCAATATTGTATCACAGATGTTGCATTTTTTGAAATTTGGAAAAAAAAATATTTTTCTATCCTTGATGTTGCAAAAAAAAAAAAACAAAAACAAAAGGCAGGCAATTTTTTTAAATCAACTACTTGCAGACACATTTTGTGAAAGATCTCAGAAAACCATTTATTTTATTTGTAACCAATTTCTTGTCGAACTATTTTAATTTTTTTAAGTATGGAGTTCACATTTTTGCCATATAAACTCCTAGCTGGATTAGTGTACTCTACATAGCCTTATTTTCTTCAGCTTTATTTTCGCCCTTTCGTGGTCTTAAATAGAGAGCAGACTTGCAAACAATTTTGCTGTATCTTAAATTTGCCCTGACACGATTCTGGTTTAGAATTTATATGTATATCTTTGAGTTGTAAATCCTCACAACTAAGGGAAGGGCATGGATGAAAATTTCCCTGTATATTGGATATATTATATGCAAGGAGAGAGAAAGGGGTGTGATCAGCATTTAATTTCTCACTGCCACTCTTCTGTCATAGGAGGTACATTTCTTATATTAAGGGAATGCAACGTTAATTGGCTTAAAAAAATTAGAAAATGAAAACTAAAGATCTTTTTTCATAACTTAACCACCCTGTTAACAGTGATTTCTTTTGTTTTATACATTTTTTGAGGAGAATTTAATTAATGCCCCATTTTTTGATTAAAAGATAACTTGAAAAATGTAAACATATAAGGAAAATGCTTACATTTGACTAGATTGTTTTCATCTCATCTTAACCCATGTACAGAAGCAATATATTTGATGACTTTTAGTTTTTTTCCTTGAGTTTTTATTTTTAGTTAAATGTTTATATATATAAAAGCAATGTATAAGCTGAATTTAATGTGTAAATAATTTTAGCACGTTGAATTTTTAGGACGCCTATTTTATTCTATCTCCATTTATATTATTTGTGATTATTCTTTTTAGACAATTAAACCTGGCTTTTAATTACAATATTTGACTTGTTTTATTAGCTTTGAGTAACCTTATCATTATTCATGATTTTATTTTGGAACTTTTTGGAAACTTTCATATAACTAAAGAAATACTGACAGAGGTGTTCGGAATACGTGTGTATCAGTTCATCAGGCTTAGGCACCTTCTGCAGGAATTCAGGAAAATTGTTTGATTTAGTACAAATCTCTGTTAACCTTGGACTTTGATTAAGGCGGGGAATTCTGGACGTTACATAACTAGCGTCTTGAAATTTACTCAGCTTCATTCACTGTTGAAATATACATGGGATAGAAATTCAGGCGAATGTCAACGAGTGTAGCAAATATCCGAAAACAGTGTCTTGTAATCTCGTTAGACGAAAGAGGTGGGGCTTAAAAGTCGTTTCAACCTTGTCAGCAATAATTTAAAGTTCCGTATGTTATTAATTTCTAAACCAATGAGAATTTATTCACCATTTGAGAGACGTTAATTACGTAGCGCCCAGAATGCCACGCCCTACTGAAAGTCTAAGGATGACAGAGATTGTACTACAATATGCGCCGAAGCTTTGTTTTGATTGATTTGATTACATGCATTGACGTAACTTACGAAATAATTGGTCATTTTACATCGTAGTTCAATTCAAAACGGTCTGGTACACTTCATGCATAATGGTAAAGCTTTAATTGTTACTACTCCTATCAATCAAAAGTGCGCGTTTATTCAATTAAAAAAAAAAATACTCATTTAGACTCTAAATTTTCAAAATTCATAATCCAGAAAATGGTATATGCAGTGAAGAAAAGTTTCTAAATATGATGATGATAAAGTTTGCTTAAAATACAGAGAAGATAAAATCTAAAAGAAATTGATTTTTATTACAAGGCAGATTTATAGACAGATAATATATGCTAGAAGGGATCGAGTTTTTTAAGGACAAACGATACGTTCCTAAACAATATATTATTTTTTCCAAGATTTATAGAATGAATTCTTGCTCCTTTAACGTGTCTCCTCACAAAAAAATTGACGCACCTTAGTGCAAGATGCGAAAGGATGCTGTTTCCTACATAACCCTTTTGGAAATAACTTAAATATTCAATATGAAATTTTTTTCTGCTATTTGATTATTTTAAGACAAATAGTTCTAAACAAGTTTAGAAATCAACAGGTAATTATAATTATAAATATTTTGTATACATGTACATATATAACAACAAATTTACAACTTCGATTTCTGATCAACGAGGAACGTAATCATCTGACCCTAACTTTCTAAAGTTCTAACCTCCCTTTTATCTGTCCTCATCCTAAATAGGGGGGTGATTTTATGAACTTGAATTTAGTTTTAAGGACTATCAAAAACTGCCTTTTCCTTAGTCATTCAAATAAAGGATTTGACCTTTATTTTATTCACTTTTCACACGTGCATAAAGATGCAACGCACGTGAGATGATTTCTTTTATGTAAAAATGCTAATTAATTGAAATGGACGACAAATGTACCTGTTAATTCCAGATCAAGTTTTTTTTTCCCCTTAATGCGCAGACATGAATGTGTAGAATATTGAAGAATTATTTTATTTGTCTGATTTGTTAGTTTTTTTCTTCCTTAAGTGCATCAACACTGAAATAGACAATTAATGAGGGCCCTAGGGATTTTCTCTGACACCTGCCTGTGCCCCATTAGGACAGGTATATATATTAAATCAAAGGGAATCTGAGTGTTAGTGGCATTTTTCATATAGGAGATATGAACATCATCGGGGTGCTCTTCGGAATTACTCTGGGTTTTTCGTCAGTTTATGGACAAGTGACAAGCCGAGGTTTTTGTCCTAGAATTCCAACCGTGCGTCCATTCGATGTTGGACTTGTGAGTAAAAATTTTGAATTCATTTGCTTCCTCCCAAATTGTTAATTAATGCTAAACATTTCCGTTAATAAAATTTGTTAAGTCACGATTCTTCTACACCCGTGTGAGTAAAACTTTGATTTGAATTTATTTTTTTCTTCCCAAATTGTTAATTAATGCTAAAAATTTTAACTAATAATAGCATTTAGTCGATTTATACACTCACGTGTGAGAAAAACTTTGATTTGAATTCACTTCCTTCCTCCCCAATCGTTAATTAATGCTAAACATCTAAATTAATAAAACACGTTTAATTTTTCTCTTAAACCCACATACTCATGTACTTTGATCATCTAATAAAAGTGATTAATTTACATGTTTGTCACTTCAGTCTCTTGATAAATATTATATTAATATTTTGTGTTTATTTAATTTGGAAAGCAGCAAATATGTTCGACGTAAAAAAAAGACATTCCACACGTTTGGTGGAAAACTACAATAAATGAAAACGGAAAATCTTTTTTTCTTTAATCTAAATAAACTTAAATCTCAATTTCCTTTTCTTTAAATTTCAATCAAAAATTAACCACATTCGTGTTTTCTGTGTAGAAAATATCAGTCTTTACCATAATTGATTTTGACAACTACCACCCACTCCAACTCCCGTTTCATTTTTAAAACACATGTACCTTTAACTTTAAGCATATTCAATGAATATTAAAAAAACTTGCCTTCTGAAGTTGTACATTATTCAGTCGCGCAATTAATGCTACTTACATGATTGTACTAGTACAACCTTAGGGCAGAAAGACAGCGTGCCATTAGTAATATCTGTTATTTACAAATAGTGTAACTTACAAGCTTTTTTGTTCTTTTAATTGTTAATTAATTTCAATAAAATGCTTTCTTAAGTACAATGTATTACGGGAATTAATGCCACAGCCGATGCAGGAAAAATGCATATGTATTTTTTTCTGCAATAGCCGAGACATTAACTCCGAAACTAACAAAGAAGAAAAAAATTACTGTTTTTAGATGTATTTATATCTGTATGAAACAGAGAAAATTCAAAGTAAGATTAAAGGTTTAAAATATTGTATTATAGACGTTAATGTCATCGTTTCATTTTTATGCATAACTGTTGGAACAGCCATTGTTCACGAAATCTATGCAGATGGTAGCACTGGCTTGCTTAGAGTTGTTTATGCACTGATTAACGGCAATGGCCTTCATAAGAATTTAAGAAACTAATATTCAGTGGATGTTAATATATTTGATACAATCAGGCAGCAAGCTTCTTTCACACCCATTGCTTGGGCATCTTTTGAATCGGATTATAATCTGACTGTTATGCAAAATATAGTAAATGACCACGTTTAAGTAGAAAGAAATTGAATAATCTTGAAAAGTTCTGCATTTTGTACATATGTGAAGGAAACTTATTGTATGCATCGTATTGTACAACAATTAATGATAATTAAGGGTTGACCCGACACATAAATGAAACTACAGCCTGAAGGATACAGTACATATATTATTCAGTTGATCTTCCAAATCTCAAAAATTCGAATACCACTTGTAATGCGAATTGAGTTCTAAGAGGGATGAACAATCTCAGTTAGGCCTATCTTTTAATTTAAGGAATCACAGTCTAGTTAGTAGAGCATATGCCAGAGCATCAACGATAGTTGGAAATGTGGGATAATTTGAAAACGGACGAAGCATAAATTATATATACCACGCTTCCAACTATCGTTGATGTCCCTGGCATACTTTACTAACTAGACAGTGATTATTTATATTTCCATTTCATTGTGAATTAAAATTGTAAATTTAGATTTTTAAAATGTAGAACAGTCATGTCAATATCAATAGTGCCCCGACCACTGATGTCAAACACAAAAACGGGCGCACGAGATTTGCATGAATATTAGCTATACATTTACATTCCGGTAGAATGATCAAGTTTCTAAATTAACTCTAGAAATTTTCAAAAAGTTATAACAGAGAAATATAAAGAAATGGAAATATAAAGATATACATCAACAATGCGCCGATGTTCAAATATTTTCATTTCTATTTGTTTTCTCTATGATAATCCCTGCAAAGTTAGATGAAGTGATTTCATGATAATTGCACCGGAATGTAAATTTCGCCAAGCGAAAGGTCAGGAACTAAGGAGGCCTAAAAATGCATGTAAATCTCATGCAGTTGTCTTTGTGTTTAACGTCAATGGGCAGGGACTATCGAAATTTACACTGGGGGCCTCGTGTAATTTAAAGGTATTAGACAACCTTTCTAAATCTGAATTTACAATTTTATTTCACACTGAAATGGAAATATAATAAACTACTGTCTAGTTTGTTAGGGATGCATAACGGTCTTCCGGTTAATCTTCAATAAAAGCATTCGTAATTCAGAACTGCATTGTGTCTTAGTAAAAACCATAACTTTATTTCAGTATTTAGGCATTTGGTACGAATTCGAAAGGTTCCCATTAGCGGCCCAAGCTGGAGTCACGTGTTCACAAGCAAGTTACACGCGAAACAATGACGGAACAATCCGGGTCGTCAACACAGGAGTGCAAGAAAGGTAAAGATGGAATAGAGAGTGATAATATATGTTCTTTTGTATGTTTGAGGCCACTTTTTCCCCCTTGATAAGGAAATTTAAATATCTTTTTTTAAAAAAAACATTTCTTATATTATTCTTATAATTAATTGTTAAATTGAAAATTTTCAGAACTTCTGTGTTCTGTTGATTTAAGGAATCCCTGTCTAGTTTGTTGGTTATGCCAGGGTATCCATGAAAGATGGAAATGTTAGATAAATTATCCCACGTTTCCAACTGTCATTGATGTCTCTGGCATACCCATCAAAATAGACAGTGATTTCTTATATTCACTTTTAATTGTAATTATTGATTTTAAAGCTTTGTCTTTAAGATTCGAAATAAAATCCCTTATGTTAATTTCAATAGTCCTCGTCCAGTGACATCAGAAACAAATTAAGACAGCTGCACGAGATTTGTAAACATGGCTGCGTATAAGGCCTCTTTTCCTCCTGACCTTTCACTTTGCGAAATTTACATTCAGATTGAATTATCAAGAAATCAACTCACTTTACTTTCAGAGAGTTATCACATAGAAAACAAATAGAAATATAAATTTACTAGTTTTTGATTGGAAATTAGATATATGTAACAGAACATTTAGATAAATAAGGAAATTAATTCTCAATTGTTATTGCAAGCATATCATTTCAAGTTCCATTACCCCTGGGGATATTAAACATACATATATACCTCATTGTTTCTAACAAAGCCTCTCTGCACTTTAAGGTTTGTCAGAATACATTAATTAACTCAGTTCCTTGACATTCAATGTTCCAGGCGACGCTGGACACAATTAATTACATTGCTGAATGGTGTCACTTATTAAATCAACAGGAAGCCCTCCTTAACCTTTCTGTTGTTCTAAAAAGGACATAAGCAAAACGGTTGTCTTTTTATATTAAGTATCCTCCACGGCCAGTTTTAAAACCCCAACTAAACCCCTGTGGCCCTGTCCACCGTTAATGCATGCATGATGCAATTTTCATTGTAATAACCGACAAGTTCTTAATGATAGATTAATTTATTGAAATATTGACGCGATTCAACGGATTTTAAAAAAAAAATGCTTTTAGATATCCCTTCAATAAGTTTCCTAATTTCAAAGTCGTGAAAAATTGTCACGATCGAATCATTGCGTATTAAAACAAAACTAGATTAAAAATATGGAGCATTTTAAGCGATTGTAAAGTTATTATCATGCCGTCGTGTCCTGTGAACACCATATTATTTTATGTTCTTTTTAATTTTAGAAATGGTGAACCTGTTCGTGTAGAAGGTACCGCCAGAGCTGTGAATCCACAAGATCCAGCGAGACTTTCCGTCACCTTTTCTCCTTGTAAGTACATCTTTTTTAAAAAATATATCATTGACCATAAAATACTCTCCATATAACTAGATTCAGATATTGATTAAATAGATTCAGGCAGGAAAAGCTAGTGGACGTGATTAGTTTTATAATTACAGTATTTGCCCTCATTAATTATGAGCACAATTTTCTTCATCCAACGCTTATTCACCATTTGCAGAATAGACCTTTTTCACCATTAGTTCTCATTTACCATTAGCATATTTGTCTTTGTTCACCATTAGCGCAATAGACCTTTTTCACAATTCAATTTAAACATTTAGATATTTTTTCACTACAAGAACAATTGTCCCTGTTCAACATTAACATAATTGTCCTTGCTCATCTTTAGCACAATAGACCTTTTGCACCATTAGCATAATTCTCTTACCACGATTCTCCTTATTTACCATTACATGAAGCACACATTTTTCACCATTAGCAGAATTGTCCTTGTTCACAATTAGCACAAGAGACCTTTTTTCACCATCAGCATAATTCTCTTCGATTATCATTAGCAAAATTGTCCTTGTGCACCATTAGCACAATAGACCTTTTTCACCTTAAGCACAAATGTCCTTATTCATCATATGCACGATAGACCTTTTTAACCATTAGCACAATAGACCTTTTTCACCATTAGTTCTTATTCACCATTAGCAAAATAGACCTTGTTCACCATTAGCACAATATACCTTTTTCACTGATAGCACAATAGACTTTTCTCACCATCAGCAGAATAAACCTCTTTCTTCATTAGCACAATAGACATTTTTCATCATTAGCACAATAGATATTTTTTACCTTTAGCACAATTGACTTTCTTCACCAATAGCGCAATTGACCTCATTCACCATTAGCACGATAGACCTTTTCCAACAATAGTACAATTAACCTTTTTCAACATTAGCACAATTGTCCTTATTCACCATTAGCGCAACTGTCCTCATTCAGCTTTGCACAACTGTCTTTGTTCACCTTTAGCAAAAAAAAAATCACTATTAGCACAAGACCTTTAAGCACAAATAAATCTCTTTCACGATTACATGTGGTACGATAAACCCTCTCAGCACTAGCACAATTGTCCTAGGCACCATGGGTACATATTCGAAATGTAAGCAGAACTGAGTCCATTTACCATGACTCCTATTTTCCTCATTCATCATTACCACAAATATCGTTATATTCAAACAAAATCACAAATTTCCTTATTCACACATTTTTCTTGAAAAATTAGGTCAGAAAAATATTGAAATTAACAATTTATGTGGAATTCTTGACAATACTAAAGAAGAAGAAATCGATCTAGATTTTGTTGACAAAATTGTAGACGATACCTGTAACATTCTTATATCAAGTGCAAAGGAAACATTTGGGATAAAAAATAATCGAAGAAAATCAAAGATAGATTTTCACCAACCATGGTTTACAATAGAATGTTACCACGCACGACAAACATTTCGTAAGGCTAAAAAACGCTACCAGAGAAATAGATGTAAAGATCTCAAAGACGATATGTATAGTAAAGAAAAAATATATAAAAAATTGTTGAATATGTGTGTAAATAACCATAAAAATCAAACGAAAGAAAAATTGAAAAAACTAAAATCAAAAAACCCGAAAGAATATTGGAAAATAATAAACTCTGGCCAAAAAAATAGAAAAAATGTAAATGCATCTGCTGAGGAATTATATGAATTTTTTAAAGATTTAAATATGGAAAAAAATAATGAAATACCTGACTATGTTTTATCAAATGAGGATATAGATATTCTTTCTAATTTACAGTGTAATGAGTCTATAAATGAATCGATAACTTGTGATGAAATAATGCAAAGTATAAAAAGTCTTAAAAGAAACAAATCATGTGGAAGTGATGACATATACAATGAATATATTAAAAGTTCATGCAACATAATGGTGCCCCTCTATCAAAAAATATTCAATAAAATTCTTGACAGCGGTTGTTTCCCCTCCGATTGGTTGTGTGGTGAAATAATCCCTATCTATAAGAATAAAGGTGATGATACTGAACCCAAAAATTATCGCCCAATAACTCTAATTAGTTGTATTGGAAAGCTATTTACATCTATTTTAAATAATAGACTTAATAGATATTCAGAAGAATTCAAAATAATACAGGAAAACCAAGCTGGATTTCGTAAAAATTATGGTACAACTGATCACATATTTACTTTGCATACAATCATCGAAATATTCAAAAAGATAAAAAAAAGAATTTATTGTGCCTTTATTGATTTTGAAAAAGCTTTTGATTCTGTATGGAGAATAGGACTCTGGAATAAAATACTATTTGATTGTAATATAGATGGAAAATGTTTTAGAATAATCAAGAAAATGTATGAGGGTATCAAGGCAAAAATTAGAGTAAATGGTGTTCTTTCAGATACTTTCCCTTGTCAACTTGGTGTAAGACAGGGTGAAAATTTATCCCCTTTTTTGTTCTCGCTCTATTTAAATGATTTAGAATCATTCCTCACCATGAATGATATAACTGGTTTAGAGAAAATATCTGAAATGATTGAGACTGAACTTCATGTGTATATTAAGCTTTTCGCTCTGTTGTATGCTGATGACACTGTTTTATTTGCTGAAAACCCTGAGTCATTACAAAATATGTTGAATTGTTTTCATGAATATTGTATAAAATGGCGGTTAAAAGTGAATGTTGACAAAACAAAAATAATGATTTTTGGAAGAGGTCGAATAAAACAAGATTTATATTTTACATATGATGGTTTAAGTCTAGAGATTGTTGATAGTTATAAGTACTTAGGAATATATTTTTCAAAATCAGGTTCTTTTAATCAAAATATAAAAGAACAATACAATAAATCTGTAAAAGCTATGTATGGAGTGATATCAAAATGTAAACAACATAATCTTTCTATGGATTGTCAGATAGATTTGTTTGACAGAATTGTACAACCAGTTTTGTTATATGGATGTGAAATATGGGGATTTACAAAAAATACTTTAATCGAAAAACTTCACTTAAAATATTGTAAATATATACTAGGGTTGAACACTAAAACGCCAAACTACAAGGTGTATGGGGAACTTGGCAGATTCCCACTTATCATTAATATTAAGGTGAGAATGATTTCTTTTTGGGCAAAACTACATTTTTCTCAAACGATGGATAAATTTGCTACAAAAATGTATGTTCTAGCTTCAAGGCATAATTTGCCTTGGGTTAACTATGTTAAAACTATTTTAGATGATTGTGGATTATCTTATTTATGGACAACACAACAAATGTACAATGTAGCATGGTTAAAAAATGAAGTAAAAAGAATACTTGTTGACCAAAATATCCAAAACTGACAAAGTAATGTTGTTAACTCATCAAAGGGTGTAAATTATCGTATTTATAAAGAAATACTAGAACCAGAAAGATATCTCGTTAATCTACCTAGAAAATTTTCAATTTTGTTATGCAAATTTAGATGTAGCAACTTTAAACTCCCTATTGAAACTGGGAGATGGTTTGGTATTCCAAGAGAACAAAGAATTTGTACTTTATGTGATTTTCATAAGATTGGTGATGAATTCCATTACGTCTTTGAATGCACACAAAAAGAAATTAAAGAGGCTAGGTTAAAATATATTTCAAACTCTTTCACATGTAGACCTAATATAGAGAAATTTAAACAACTTTTTACAACAACAAATTGTTCAGCATTGAAAAAATTATGTAAATTTTTATTGATTGTCAAACAAATTATAGATGAAAATAATTGACATGAACTTGAACATGATACTTTGTACTGTTTATAATGCATGTATTATATTTTTTGTATTGTGTTTGTACATTTTCCTACCTCCTCTCTACAATGTATGTTTGTACATTTAAGAGAATAAATCATTGTCATTGTCATTGTCATTGTCATTCAACATAAGCACATTTATCTCCATTTACTTTTAACATAAATTACATGATTGGGCATAAGCACAAACGTCCCCATCTACCATAAGCACAATTATCCTTGTTAAAATATAATTCAATGACTTCATTTATAAATGGTTTACATATCAGCATCAGCACTGCACATTAGTATTTTTTGTTCTTAATCATGAAAACAGAGAAGATGTACACTTTTCTGATTATCAGCAAAAACTTATAATCCTTAGGCCAAATATTATTCATTACCGTTACTGTATGATTGCACATTTTCCCATTTAATTTATACCAAGAGCACAATTGAAATTCGCATTCTTGAGCATAATAGTAATGTTTCATTTTTTGAATTATTGTCCTCATTTACCTTATTAATAATTGCCAGCCTCTTTTAACATGATTAAAATATTCACGAAGGAGCTCCTTGACTCAGAATTGTTCAACTTATAAAATAAAGTTCTATAACTGCTCCGAATGAACTTAAATGCAGAAATAACAGAATATTCAAATAATCATTTCGTACATATGTGCAATTACAATTTTCAAAGAATCCCCCCTTAAATTTATGATACTTTATATATTGGATATCAATCATTTCAGTCCAGCCAGTTGACCCCAATGGAAACTATTGGGTCGTTAAAACCGACTATAACAACTTCGCCATTGTATACTCCTGTCGGCAGGAAGGGCGGAGTAAGTCCGGTAAGTATGATTGACAATGTCTTGTCAGGAGTTGTCGTACTTTTTACTTAGATAGTGCCAGCTCATATTACCAAATGCATTTTTCATTCGGTAAAACTTTTCAACTGACCTAACTGGTGGAAAACTACAGTTTAATAAATAATATTTTTGACAGAAAATGCCTACATTCTACTACGAGAGCCGAGGAACCCCAATGTTAGAACGCTGAGGTCCATCTACAATTTTCTCAGGAGCTATCGAATAAACCCGAGGAACTTCATCCGAACAGATTTCCGACAATGTTTACAACCATATCCTTATAGGAAGTAGTGCAAGAAAGACTCCCATGTAGTCGAAGCAGTTTTCCATGTTTTCTTTAGAACATTGAAGTAAATTATGTTCAAAACGAGGAAAAACTATCCAAGTAAATCAATTAATATATATCATTGCAAACTGAACAACATTGCAAACACAGATATTTTCCCTTACCTTTAAATTTGAATACTCAAAATATATGGGAGGGGGGGGATGTGAGCCCCATGATGATGAGTGTTTTACGTTTGTCATTTATGTTTCATTGTATACGTTATAATATGATTTTTTATGTGTTTCATGTTATTCTTTCATGTTTACTTCAATATTTAGAATTAATAAATTAGAATAAACAAAAATATCTTAAATGAAAATTGTTACATGTATATAAAAATATTATGATAACGAACATTCATCGAGATCACAATTTCAACAGGGCATTAAACAGACATACCTAAAAAAAATTCAGAGGTAGGATAAGTTGACTAGAAGAAGAAGGCGTTCACTTTTGACAAGTCACATCTTAAATCAGCATTAATCAAGAAGACGGATTACTCAACATTCGCATAAAAAACAAAGGCCAAACCGTTGGTTTTAAAAAAAAGTCAGACAAAACACTAGCCATTGATAATACATTTTGTTAACAGGGTCATTATGTCGACCATAGAAGTTTCGAAATGCTGACTGTCAACGAGTTTATAAACAATTCTGTAATATCGACTTACCTGTCAGTAGCCTGTCTCATTTTTATATAGATTGTTATCACAATATGCTTTTTAATACTGAGTAATTATTAGGCGTTTCCCAATGAACAGATAATTGGAGAAGACCTCTACATACAAGAAATTAAAATGACGATGGAAAAGCTGCATGACATCAAATTGTTTCCTTTGCCATTCAGTTCTTAATTGACTCTTATGTACATAAAAAACATATAAATATGAAAAAAAGTTGTAGACTCTGGTGTGTCTTTTATTTACCTTTTTAAAAGGGTAACACATAGTCTTACACATCAGTTTAATACTTGTATTTTTTACTCGAAGAATATGTCAGTGTTAAACAAACAACACCACTTTATGATTAACTTGATGACCTCATTTTTTCTATCGCCACTAACTCTCAGTTATCTGGAATTTATGTCTCCAAGTTAATAAGAAAGTGTATGCTCTTAATATGACAAAATTCTAAATGACACAAGCCATTGACATGCAAACAGGTTGATGAAAGAAGAATATCAACATTTTCGTTTAATGTCAGCACTTTGCAAGTTCTGTGGCCGAAATAACGCC